CTGGACAAGAAGGTGCAACATATCACAAGAGAAGTGGAAGAACTCCAGCGCCACAGTTGAGATTTGAAACTGGCAAGATGACAGCTTGCTCCAAGTTGATCTCCAGGAGATCAACAACCCCTATCATAATTGGGAGGACTTTGGAGGAGTACAGAGTGACAAGGCCATAATGGAAACCAAAGACCTAGAGGGCCCCAAACGATCTTTAGAAAGAAGTTGAAGGACCTATGTACCACACATTGAGACTCGCTGTGCAGCCCTGAGTGGAGGCCGAGATGGACACAAAGGTAGGAGGTACCAGGATCAAACCCTGGGCCTCTGCATGAGCCACACCCTCAGCCCTTTTTCCTTTTTATTTTGAGACATGGTCTTGCTAGGTTGCTGTTGTCCAGGTTGGGCTCCAACCTGTAATCCTCCTACCTCAGCTCCTCAGAGTGCTGGGATGACAGGTGTGCACCACTGCCTGGTGAAATGCACCTTTGGAAGCCAACCTGCGTGGTCCCCTGTGACCCCTGCTCTTGCACCCACAGTGCTGCTCTTGGGCCCCTTGCCTGCTTCCCTGCCTGGCCTGCAGCCTGAATTCCTCCCTGAAGTGAGTCTGGCGGAACCGCTCAGGCAGGGCCGGGGGAGGGGAGGCTGTGGCCAGGCCAGCGTGGGGGACTTGAGGGCCCGGGCAGGGGAGACTGAGGCATGCAGAAAGCTCCCCTCCCCCGTGGCTCCCATTCAGGATGAACTCTCTGGACATGCTAGGGTGCTCTCTTCTGGAAAGACGGGGATCTAGAAAGAAAGCCCCAGCACAGCTTAGTAGAGCTTGCAGCTCCTGCACCACCAGAGTCCTCTGGGGCAGCTTCTCCCTGGTCCATGGCCCTGACAGGCAGAGTGCACCCCAGGACAAGCCCCCTGCAGAGGGCCAGGTGCACTTGCTCAGCCTGAGGAGACCACTGCTAGGGGCCTGCACATGGAAACCTGTCACACCCACCAGCTCCCCACAGCCACAGCCACGCCTGCAACTCCCCCAGAGCGGGGGTCCTACAGCTCCCACCTGTGCTTTAGAAGACACGAAGGTAAAGTGTTCTATAAGGATATAAATAAACCTCACTTCACCTGAGAGTTACTGGTGTGATTGGAGTTACCCTAGAGAAAGAAACGGACAGACCAAACCCAGCACGGTGCTGTACACCTGTAATCCCGGCACTCAGGAGGCTGAAGCAGGAGGCTTGCCCAGAGTTCAAGGCCAGCCTAAACTACAGCCCTGGGGACTCAGGTGGCCCCCTGGAGACAGTGTTGGCCCCAGGGGTCTAGGGCCTCCGGGGAGGGCAGGCACAGCCCCATACCTCGCGGGCTGTGTAGGTGTAGAGCACTTTGCCTTTGATGACGAACCACAGCCTCTTCCACGGCCGCTTGCCCCGCTTGCACCGGCTGAGGTAGCCACTGATGGCCAAGCCCTCGCTCGAGGCGGCCACCTGCAGAGAAACCCGAGGTCAGGGCTGGTCCCTACTGCAAGCCCCACAGAGTGCCCACTGGGGCTTGGGGACAGGACTCGCTGAAGGGACCCAGGAGACCAGTAGCCAGGGGTACCAAAGGGGAGGTGGTTATGCTCAAGACCCCACACGCCCACTCCCAAATCACGGAACTGCCTGGGATGGTGCGGACCGACCCTCATCCCACCACACCTTATGAGGGGCTTCTCGCTGGTGTTTGTTTTTTTAGGGACAGGGTCACGCTATGTAGTCCAGGCTGGCCTTGAACTCACTATGTAGCTCAGGCTGGCCTCTGACTTCTGGTGATCCTCCTGCCTCAGCCTCCCAAGTACTGGGACTACGGGTGTGCACTACCATGCCCACCAGTAAGAAAATTTCTTGAAGGATCTTGAGGGAAGCTGGGGAAGGATGGAGCTCAGTTTCTATCAGGTACTCTTTGGTGTTTTAAAAATTTTTTTTGTTTTATATCATGCATGTGTTATTTCTGAAAAAAATTTTTTCCCAGTGTGGGGGATGAACCCAGGCTTCCCAAATGGTAGGCAAGCTCTCACCACTGAGCTGTAGCTCAGATGTCTTTGTAAGGTCTTTAATCTTTGAGAGTTAAGCTGCTGGACAGCCTCTCACCCATGTTAATCCTTTTTCCCCTGACAGTTGTCTACACCCCTGGTGCCTGCTCTGGATCCTATTAATGGGAACGTGGAACTGTGACTGTGGTTTGGGCCAGTGTGTCTTCAGGGGACTGTGACTCACAGGAGATGGAACCTGACCCTGTCTGCAGGGTGGCCGAGGTGTCCTCCCCACATTCACAGGCTGCCTGAGGGTACCCTATACCCCAGTGAGACAGCAGAAGGGAAACGAGTGACCTGGAGCCCTGGTGGCCTGGGTGTCCCAACGGCCTCGGCCTTAGCTCCAAGCCAGGGGGAAGAGGAGAGGAGGAGGCAGCTGGAGGGTGCAGAGGTGTCTTAGTACCATCCGTCCTCTGCCTCAAGTCGGCCCTCAGCCACCAAGGCATCTCGTTGGCACGCTCAGGGACAGGCGTGTCCTGAGGGCCGGGCACGGGAGCAGGCCCTGTCCCCAAGGGAGCCTCAGTGCGCATAGGCTGTGATGGGAGGCCTGACCCTGTCCCCGGCATCCCTGTCCCACTCCTCACCTCAGCCAGGGCTGACGGGACCTTCTTCTGCTTCTTGAAGTTGGAGGGGTTGATGCTGTGGAAGACGGAGGAGAGGGCGCTGCCCGAGGAGAAGCGGGGTGAGGACAGCGGGAAGCTCATGGTCACGGGCCGCTCTGTGGGGAGAGGGGACAGTGGTGAATGGACTGGAGTGGGGGGCGGGGTGCGGGGACTCTTCCCCAGGACAGGGTGGGACTGGCTGAGGCCCGATGACCTCAGTGTCCCCAGGGAGGAATGCACTTGCCCTCTTTCCTGCCCAGCCTGTGGGCCCCGCGGCTCTGGAGGGCAAGCTCAGCTTCCAGGGCTCTGTTCCAGGCCCGCCCGCCCCCGTCCCCAGCTCCCCATGGGCTCCCACGGGCCCCACAGGTCCCGCTGGGCTTGGGCCACAGAGCTCAGAGGGCCGCATGCCCTGGGCTCTGTCCCTTCTCAGAGTCCCCTCACTCCCTGCATGAGTGGCTCCTGGGGACGAGGTGGCTCCGGCAGAGCTGCCCCACCCCACGCTCCTGAGCCCGGCTCGGTTACCTCGCAGGGGGCCCGGCGGGGTCCCGCCCCTCTTCCTCAGCTCCCCGAAGCACCCGTCGCACACCTTAGCCATGCGGTCCTTGAGGTACTTCAGGGGATACTTGTTCCTCGAGCAGTTCCGGCACACGATCTGCAGGCCGGCGCCAAGGCACGCGTTCGTGTTGACTGTCACATCCCACGTGTGCAGAGGGGGCCGGCATCCACCCTCACGGCCCCTGCCTTAGTGGCCCAGGCAGCACGGTACTTCCTAACGGGTGCCTCGGTTTCCCCCGATGGTGCACCCTTAGTGGTGAGGCAGCGCTCTTTGCACCACAGTGCCACTGCCAACGTCCTCTCTGCTCGTGGCAGGAGGTGGGCATGGGCCCCCCAGGCTCCCCCCGGGCTCCCCCCGGGCTCCCCCAGCATCCCTGGCTCACCTTGCCGCAGGCGTGGCAGTGGTGGCGGCGCAGGGTGAGGGAGAAGTCGCAGCCGCAGTTCATGCACATCATGGCGTGTGTGACGGGCACCAGCGTGGGCGGCCGCTCCCCCAGGCTGACCCCCAGCCTCTCGCGGAGCTGGGGAGGGGGCGGAGGTCAGCATGGTCCTCGCGTGTCCCCAACCCCAGGGGACCCATCCCACAGCTGCTGCTCACCTCCGCGCTGTGGTGGAAGGCGGCCAGCGCCTGGGCCTCGTGGTCCTCGGGGACAGCCCTGCTTAGGCAGCTGTGCCACTCATCCCTCTCGGCGCAGGAGCTGTGGGCACGGGCCGGTGGGTCAGTCCTGGGTCCTCCCACCTGCCACGTGTGTCACTTCGTCCCCAAACACTGGGCTGTGAGAGGGACGGGACACGGGCAGCCCCTCTGCCAGGGGCAGACAATGGGCAAACAAAGGCCCTGGGTTGCAGGATCCACAGTGTAGAGGGACGGGCCAGTGGGGACAGGGTGCCACATGCACTGCTCAGGTGCTCTCGGGGCTGCCGGGGACAAGGCCAGAAGCGGCAAGCAGCGTCTCACAGTGCCCACCAGGTGGCGCACACATCCCGCACACCAGCCCTGTGGTCTTGGACAAAGTGGTCGGGGCTGCGCTGGGAGGAGGAAGGTGTGTCCCGCTGCCCAGCTCCAGTGTGCGGCCACCCCTGCCTGGAAACACGAGCCCCGGGACCAGGCACACAGCCAGGAGCTGGGTGCCTGACCCCGGAGAGGGAGGGGAGCAGCGGGAGCCCCGGGACACAGAGGGGCTGGCACCACCACGGCCTGCCACAGCCATAGGCCACAGGCTCACCCCAGATGACCGAGGGGCACTGAGGCTGGCAGGTGTCCACCCGAGGCCTGTGTGGGGACCAGCGTGTGACTCCCTACGCCACGGGTGTGCACTAGTGTGCACGCTGCACACCTCACACTCAGCACGAGGGCTCCACGGCCGCCCTGAGGCCCCATGCGGAGGAGACACCCAGCGGCAAGAGCTGTCCAGCCCAGGACTGTACCTCCCCCGAGCTTGATGGCACCCCTCGCCTCAGTGGGGAGGGCTGTCTTAGGGGCCACAGCCCAAAGCCAGCCACAGGGTGGGATCCGCAGGAAAACGCAGGCCTTTCTCCCCCTTTTCTTCCTTCCTTCTTCCTCCCCGTCCCTTCTTCCCTCCCTCCTTCCCTCCCTGCGTCCCTTCTGTTTGTGGGTGGCCTAGCATGCCCCCAGGGCAGGTGAAGGGTGAAAGCTGGCCCTCATCTTTCCCTCGCTTCAGACACTGTTAGGGTGGGCAGGCCACCTGTGTTGGCCCCCCAACATCTGTGGAGCCTTGCAGACCTGAGGTGCCATCCTTGTCACCTGTCCTATGCATTTCCCATGCACACATTCCTCCAGGAGAGAAGCCAGGAGTTTTTACAACACATTAGTTAAGAGACACTAAAAGGAGAGAGTCCTCTCCTCAGTCGGGGGCCAGAAGGGAAGTGATGCCACGTCCACTCCTGATAGCCACATGTGCCCGCTAACAGGTGCTCCGAGTTCCGTCCCGGCCCGCGGCCCCTGTTCCGTACCTGGCTGACAGCGTCATGCAGCTCTGGGCGGTCTCGATGCGCAGGGCGTAGGGCACGTTCTCCATCACCGGCCGGCTGACCTGCAAGAGCCGTGCCAGGCACTTCAGGACGGGCATGGAACAGGAGCCAGGGGCCCTCGTTGGTTGCAGGGTGCAGAGACCCGGGCCTGACACAGACACTCAGTGGCCTCAGCTTCCTCAGTAGTGACACAATGCTGTCCCCTCTGTGATCCCCAGGAGGTAGGGAACGTCTCCAGCTAATGTGCGCCGGGAGCCTGGACCTGCTTGCTGCACCCATCTCGGGTACCCCTCCCTGCCCAGCCTCCCAGGATGAGGGTCCCCATACAGGGACCCAGCCTCACCACCTCACTGCCCTCGGGATCACAGCCACCTTTAGCCCTGTGGTCAACCTTGGCGTCCCCTCTTGAGTCCCAGGTGGGACCTGGACGAATGTTCTTAGATCTCCCACTCCCCAAGCGTCCCGAGCCCCGTGTCTCCTCAAGACCAAGTCTCCACTTGTGTGTGTGCAGCCACAGCAGCGCTGTCAACTGCCAGATGAGGGGCTGACGCTGTCATGACTGCCACAGCTGCCAGACGAGGGGCAGCCCATGCGCCCACTGACAGGTGACGGGGAGACAGCATCACAGCCCACCTGGGAGGAGGACACCTAGCCATGTGGCCTAGGACGGGCGAGGACAGTGCTGTGGGAGGGAGCTATGGGCAGGGAATGGGGCTGTGCACAGCAGCAGGAAGGACCAAGGGGCAGGCGCAGAAGGGACAGGTGAAGGGTCCTGGAGGAGTGATGGAGACCACTACGAAGTGGCTCAGAGCAGGAAGCAGCTTTTCGTGTTTGCCTGTGAGTTGGCCTGAGGCCTAGGCCCCTTGTCTGGAGATGGGCAGTGGACTCATAGTAAGTGAACCTCTATGGGTCACTGGTCCCCATTGAGGCCTGCGAAGCTGTGATGCCTCAAAGGACAAGATAAGGCCACAGCCGAGGACTTTGGCTCCAACCCCAATTAACTACAAGGAGACTGCAGCTGCAGGCATCTCACTCCTGCAGTGAAGACCTTCCTGGAGATAACACAGTTCCCCTAAGTTAACATAAAGTATTACTTGGAGAAGTCCTTAAAGGGATTCCCAAGTCCTGCCCAGATTCCTGGCGTTTTCTTCAGTATCCCCCTCCTTTGTTTGAAAATCAGATAAATACAGGAGCCCAGGGAAGTTCTTGGTCATAACCCAGAGAATCTTGAATTCTGTGAGAGGGTTGGACCCTCCTGGAGGCCTAGTATCATACCACTGGTCTCATTTATTTAAGCCTTCCCTGTCCACTTGTTTGGGAGACTATGGGCCTGATCAGTCTGCAGTAACTAGGGGATAATATTAACGTGATAGAGGAGCACATGAGACCTAGTGCTTGGACGCAGCGGCCAGGATGGCAATGCGGTGTGGTCTTGTCCCCGGCCCCTGCTCACCTCCCGTCCCCTCCATGTCACCACTGCAGGGCCTAGGGCCCTGCCCCAGGCCACTGAGGAGCAGAGACCTGGGAGCTGCTTGCCTGCTGGTTCCCCCACACCCCGTGGCTCACCTTCATGCCAGCCACGGGCAGCGAGCGCTTGAGCCGGTACTTCCCGTCCTTCTGGGGGTGGGTGTACAGCAGCACATCACTCATCTGTGGACAGGGGACTGTCAGATGGGGAGGGCTGGGCTCGGCATGGGCTGTGCGTCCCAGGCCCGTCCAAAAAGCCCAAGAAACAAAATTAGAACACGCTGCCGAGACACAGGACTGTGGGATGACTTCTACGTCTCTCTGAGCAACAAGGCCACACGTCCTGGGGCCCAGAGCAGCGAGACCAGTCCAACCCACGGAACGGGCTGGGCTGGGTCTTGGGGTCGGGACCCAACTGCCAGGCACAGGGACTCCTGGTGTTCAACACTGTTAGCTGGTGTGGGGTGGTGGCTCGCTGTGATGGTGGGCACGGTGTTGCTGGGCAGAAGCAGCTGTCACTGCATGCATTCACCCAGGGATGGGCAGCTGCGTGCGGAGTCCTGTTCTGAGCAGTCCTCAGGGCTCACTGTCTAGCGCCCAGGTGGTGCAGAGTAAAGGCCTCTGCCATGCACACAGGTGGGGGGTGAAACAAAGGCCACGGCAGCTCTGCAGGAGGAAGTGGCCTCAGCCTGGCACACACAGGGCCAGGTGACAGTGTGACCCTCCTACACAGCGTCCTGAGCCTCCGCGGAGCCACGAGCCTCCCCGTCTGATTCTGGGAGACCCCAAAGTGTGCCCTAGCCAGCCGTTCATTGCCGCAGCACATGTAGGAGCCTGAGGTCTCCGCACAGCTGCCCTCAGCGCCCGGTGCCCGTCTTTACCCTTGGCCTGTGCCATCCTGGGGAGCGGAGGAGAATCCAGTGGAATGGGCAGGGGCTGCGCACTGCAGGGGTGCAGGGGGCCCCTCCCCAGTGTTCTCTGAAGCCCTGTGTGTTGGCAGGCAGTGCCCCAATTCTGCTGCAAGTCAGATCGGTTTATGAAACTTTTTTCCTTTTTTCTGATCCTGGGGATGGAGCCCGTGAAGTGCTGAGCAACCCCCAGCCCTTTTGATTCTTTAATTTTGAGACAGGTTTCACTAAGTTGCTTCCCCGGGCTGGGCTGGAGCTTGTGATCCTCTTGCCTCCGCCACCCAGAGTAGCTGGGATTACAGGTATGCACCACCATGCCTGGCAAAACTGGCACCTTTGAGAAAGACAAATGCTTCCTTACATGCGGCTTTTTCCTTTTTTCTTTTTTCTGCGGTGCTGGGGCTGGACCCCAGAGCCTTGGGCATAAAGGTCAGGCAACCGCCCCTGAGTCTCACCCCAGCTCTACATCTCCCTGGCTGGGGAAACTGTCACCTGCCTGCTCCTTCTCAGTGTGTGTTCAGGCAGCCCGGGGACCTGGGGCATCTGAGCAGAAGACCCCGTGAGATGGAGGAGGCCCCTCAAACACACCATGTCCCGGCCTCTGTGCCCCACAAACATGGTCTCCTCTAAGACCCATCCTCAGTGGCGGATCCCAGAAATCCGAAATGCACAGCACCCGGGGTGTCCAGCTATCTGCCCCCAGGACCCTATTGCTGCATGGGGCCCCTTTGGAGTGCCCTCTCCACTCTGCCAGCCCTGCGCCTCCACGGAGCGACAGGTGCTCAGAAACAGGTGTGTCCTCAGGAGCCCATGTGCCCCACACCCAGCCCCAGCCCAGGATGCTGCTGGGTGTGGTCACCTTCAGCAGGTGGGGCTGCGGGAGGTCTTGGGTCACTAAGGTCACACCCTCAGGGGGACAGCAGGGCCCCCTTCTTCCTCCCTCGTGCGCCAGCACAGGACACCTGGCCATGGCTGGAGTCTCAAAACCAAGAGCAGAAGCGACCCGAGCTGTGAGCCTTGGGTGTCAGTTATGGTGATGCGAGACGTGGGAGCTCAGGGTCCTGGGCTGGGGCAAAGAGCTGTCACTGGCCCCCGAGGGGGGCATGGCTCCCCATGGGCACGGGCATCCCTGACATGTCTGCAGAGCAGGGGAGGTGCGGGATGGGGTCCTGACCCCGGCTCCCACTGTGAGGCTGGTGGGGGACTGTCCCTCCAGGGCGGGTCCTTTCTAGCGTTCCAGGAGCACTGAGGCCCACGCCTGAGGTGTCTAAAGTGGGGAACGTCAGCAATTAAACCTCAGCACCACTGTATTCAAAGCCACGAAAAGGACAACCTAGTGACAACCTGATGACAACCTGGGACCAGCGGTGGCTGTGAGCTCAGCCCCCTGGGAAGCCCAGCTGTGCAGAGAGCCACACCTGGAGACCCAGATCTGTCCCTCTGCCCCATCCCTGGCCTCTTGTGACAGACCTCGACGTGTGGCCAAACTCACCAGGAACAGGTGGCGGGGGCGCCTGTCCTTCCCACGCACCTTCATCAGCGTCCCCTCCTTCAGGAATTCCTGTGAACAGAGAGGCCGACCTTGTGGCCGCCGATGTCCTTGCTGCCCCGAGACAGGAGGTGGCTCGGGAGGGACATGGAGACACAGTGCCCAGGGACCAGGTGTGCTCCTCCTTCTGCCACCAAGGGGCTCCACCCTAGCTCCCTGGGAAGGAAGCTGCAGATGTGCATGTTGGCCTGGGCCCACATCCTGGAGGACACCAAGCGGTGGTTCACAGTTTCCCAACCACGGTCCTAGCTGGGATACCGAGGGAGACTGCAGCCTCAGAGGCCATGTGATGGCTGATGATGAACTAGACCTCCATGGCACCATTGTTCTCTCCAACTGCAGAGATCACACTGCTGACCACTTTTGAGCTGAATTATATGTTTTCCATTGGGAGGCAAAAACCTAGGTGAATCAATCGCTCAATCTCCCCCTCCCGCTCCCCCCTCCCCCTCCCTCCCTCTCTCCTCTTGACCTGAAGTGCTGGGCTGGAGCCCAGGGCTTCGTGTGAGCCCAGCATATCCCAGCTCTGAGCTATGCATAAAGGAAGGGATTTTTAAGACTCTTCCTGGGCTTGCCCTCTAGAGATGGTTTTCTGCTTCCCAGCAACTCTGGACTGAAAATACTCCGAGCCTCTTCTTCTTGGGAGTGGAGAACCCACGGGCACTGTCTCTGTACCCTCTGCCCCCTCCTGGGGACACAGCACCCGCCTAGGTCCCACGAGGCCAGCTGGGAACATGGCCTCCCCCGCTGCCCTAGGCCACTCACCCTTCCCGGCTGCAGGAGGTCACCCTGGCCACGGACGCTGTGCTCGATGTGGACCAGCTTTTGCAGGTTCTCCTGCAGGTAGGGCGGGGAAGGAGGCAGTCAGGCCTGTGAGGAGCAGCCCAGGATGGCCGAGGGGTGGTAATCAAGGAACACAGCCAAAGGAGGAGATGCCACCCTCCTCGGGCTCCAGAGCTAGAAACGTGGACTGCCCGGCTAGAATAAGAACCGACCCTGCAGGTGACTCTCTGGGTTACTCAGACAGGTTAAGGGATAGGCTGCCCCTCTGAGCAGCACCGTCCTGAGGAGGTAACACCTTGTGTACTTCCTGAAGTCATCCAGGAAAGGGGACACCACCTTGACATCCTCAGGTCACCCCTGGTTTCAGGCAGAAAATGCACAGAAAAATGTCCAGCAGGTACTCCATTACCACAGGACAGAGCCCTGGGTGTAGCTGCCATCAATAGTAGAAAGATCGGACGGTCTGAGCACCCCGACTTCCCCATACCCACGGGTGGCCACCTGGCTGAATTCCAGAACTGACAAGGCCTTTTTAGGAAACAGGAGGCAGCCAAGCATCACAGCTTTGGCGACATTGGGAGAAAGGGTGGTGATGCGGAAAGAGAGCACCGAAAGGTTCACAGGTGCCCAAGGGTCAGGAGGTGACAGGTGTGGGCGGTGGCAACAGGACCTGCAGCTCACACAAGATGAGATGGGGCAGGCAGCAGGAAAGGCTGCCCATGACCCCGAACCACGATCCCACCCCAGAGCTCCGGTGAAGACTGCTGCTTCTGGGAAAGGGCAGAAGCCAGGCCTGGGGCAGGGGAGCTTTGGGCCCAGCACTGTCACCAGTGCCATGCAGGGACGGCTGCAGTGGGGATGGGCAGAGGCCTGTCCAAAGCTGGCCACAGGTCAGCACAGAGTGTGGCCCTGGGGGCAGCAGGTAACAAGCAGAGGCTACAGGAGAAGGGGCAGGAGTCCAGGAAGAGCCTTCCTGGGGGGTGGGGCTGTGAGGGGTGGCAGGCCCTCCATGCAGCGAAGGTGGCCGTAGCTGACAGGGTCAGAAGCTGGGCATGCAGTAGGCAGGGCGGGGACCTTCAAGTCAGGACAGGGGTCCAGCTCAGCCATGGCCCAGACCAACTCCACCTGCCAGGGCAGCCAGTCAGAAACAAGCAGAACTGTTCACCTCTGCCTCTGTCCTGCTCCTGCGCAGATGCCTGGCTTTCAGTCAAAACTTACAGGGACATAGACACAAGCGAAGAAAAGAAACCCAAGTCATTTTCAAGAAGAAAAGCCTTCAACAAATCCAGAACATGAGGGGACCGACGTGGGAACCATCAGGGATTTGATGGTGACTACAATTTATGTGTGAGAGATCTCTTAGGGGACAGACAGCAGTCAGAGCAGGCGAGGAATCTCAGCGATGGAAACCAGGACAGAAGCCAAAGGAAATGTTAGCGTTAAATAAGCCATTGGTGGCAGAAGCAAGAACACCTCTGACAGGCTTAGCAGCAACAGAGCACAGCTGAAGAAAGAATCAAAGACCTTGAAGACCACTCGGCAGACTTCGCCCCAACCGCACACAGGAACAACAAGAACGGGAGGAAAGGACAGAGTGTGGGTGAGAACTTCCTGAAGTTAATGCATGACAAGCCACAGTCCAGCCAGGAAGCTGGAGGGTCACAGCAGGCTCAACGCCACCCTCCCGCACAACTCTCGCACACCCAGTGGGCTCCTGAAACTGCAATAAAACTACAGTCTTGAATGCAGCCGGAAAGAGGGACACACAGCATAAGGATGAAGACAAGCAGACAACAGACTTGGTGTCAGAGGCCATGTGAGCTGGAGAGATGGGCTGGCATCTTTCAAGTGCGAGGGAAACATGAGTCAGCCCAGGTTTTTACACCCGGGGAAAATATCCTTTGAAAATGGAGGTCAAAGGACAATTAGGTAAAGGGGAGAGGTGGTGGGAGCCGGGCTTGTCGTGCTGGGTGGGGCCTGCTGGTTGGCAGGGAAGGAGGCTGGAGTCGCCTGGGGGATACTGAGTCTTGTTGGAAACACAGGTACCAGCCCTTTAGCTTCACATGGACGTGGTGAGCTATGTATGCTGTCTACAGATATGTGAGGCATACACATGGTGTCTTAGTCACTTTCTTCAGCACTGAGATGCAAAACCTGACGCCCACAAGGTAAAGGAGAGGCTTGTTGTGGCTCATGCTTCCAGAGGTCTCAGGCCCCGCGTGGTCCGCCAGCTCCAGGCAGGAAGATGTGGATGGTGGAAGGGCCTGCCGGAAGAGGGCTGCTCGCGGCATGGCGAACCGGAAGCAGAGAGGAAAGGGAGGAGGCAGAAGGGAGACGAACACTTCCAGACCACACACCCAGTGCCCCTGTCTTCCGGCCAGGCCCTGCCTGCTAACACCAAGACAGCAATGGTGCCTGTGATCCAGTCACCTGCCGCAAGCCCTACCTCCGAGTGCAGGAGGGCCTAGGGGGTCACTAGATATGAACCCTAATACAAAGGTTAGTAAACACACATATTCCTTTGTGCTGTCAGTTGAGAGGGCTGAAAAGAAATGATTCCCACGAGCAGGGACACTCAGGCCCCATCTCTGTTTCAAACACCACTGTCCCCATGGAGGAACCAGAAACCCTGGGGCCCACGGCTGGTTCTCAGCTAGGAACAGGAAATGTACCAGGGGAATGAGCTAGAACTCAGGAAGTGCTCAACACAGAGCAGAAACACGCAAGGCGTGTGGATGGAATATGACACGGGCAGAAGCCATCGGACAGTGTGCCCGAGGGCCAGAGTCCTGACACTGCTGGGAAGTATGATAAACAGTGCAGTGGGGGATTCTGTACCAAGAATAAGATAACTCTAGTTGAGTCTGCGCTGACTGGAGAGACTGCCTGATTCAGAGAGGGACAGAGTGTGGGTGAGGCAGACAGACAGACAGAGTTGGGCAGGAGGGAAGACACACCCTATGCAGAGCTCTACAGGGATCACCAGGGGGCGCCCAGCCTCTAGGAAAGGAGGCCCAGTGGCTGCGCCCTGAGGGCCATTGCGCCATGAGACTTTTTCCAAAGGGGGCAGCAGCGGCTGCCATGTGGCGAGACCTCACATAGCAGAGACCTGGTGCACACTGCCTGACACCGACAGTCGCAGGTGGGTCACCAGGACGAGCCTGCACAGTCTGCCCTGCTCTCCCCGTTAAGCCTCCACCCCTAGTCCAACCACAGGGAAACACTGGACGGACCCGGGCAGTGGCCACCTGCAAGGGCATCGGCCCTGGTCCACAACGCCAAGGGCACCACAGACAGGGGCTGAGGACACGTGAAGAACGAGGGTAATGCAGTGTCTTGGGCGGGACCCTGCAAGAGTCCCGGGGTCGGGCACCAGGAAAAGCCTGGGGACTCCGTGGGACAGTGGCCTTCAGTGTCACTCTGCCCACAGTGTCCTTTAATGGGACAGATGCTCCAGATGTTCAGTTCCCTGGAGGATCCAGGAAGGACCTGGGCCATGGGCCAAGGATTCCCACGGCAATCACTGTGGTAGACTGCAGACCCCCACTTCCACATTTTGGGGATGCCTCAGATGCGGGGACAGGGTGCAGGGCTGAGGACACGTGCGTGTCACGTGGATGGGGAGCTGGTAACATGGGCATAATGAGCATTGCCATGGCGGCTGGACCCCAAGGGCTTTGCACACGACCTCTGGGCTGGCAGTGAGAGATGCCTGGAGTCCCAGATAAAATGCAAAGAACAAATGACTCACTTAAAATACGGGCAAAGGAGCCAAAAAGACATGTCTCAAAAGTGGGTGTGCTTGTGGCCACCAGGTTCACACCAACACCCTCCGAATCTGCAGATCAGACACGAGCCACCACCTCACCCCAGTGAGGAGGCCGCTGTCAGAAAGACCAGACATCACGGTGCTGGTGTGCAGGGGGGACCCTTGCACACGGAAATCAGCACTGGGGTCCTCAAAACACTAAGAATACAACCACCACAAGATGTCGCAATCCCACGACCGGGCGCACATCCAAAGCAGAGGAAATCAGTGTGTCAAAGAGACATCTGTGTCCCGCCTTCATTACAGTCCTGGGCACAAGAGCCGGGAGACGAAAATAACGTAAGTGTCTGGCAACTGATGAATGTAAAAAGCAAGTGTGGTCACATACACACCAAAGCACTACTCAGCTGCAGAGGAGGAGAGAATTCTGCTCTGATGACAACATGGTGGAACACGAAGCCAGGCACAAAGACAAACACCCGCGTGATCTCACCACACACACCCTTTCTGACCCAGGGCCTCTTGGAGAGGCAGGAGGGAGAATGTCACCACAGGGTTGGGCCCAGAAGCTCCGGTTTGGGGCTGCACTGGAGGAACCTTGGTTTGTATAGACTATCGGGGCGACAGAGCAGGGAGCCAGCCAACGTCAGGGGCAGCGAGGGGATCAGATGACAGTGACAGGTTTGACTCACCCTGTGAACTGCGTGTGCTATCCCCGGCCTCTGCGTCCCTGACACTCCCCCCACCCCAGCACTGTCCCATTTCATAGTGGGTGGCCCTGCACTTTCCTGTCTCCTTGCTCTGCCTAGCCCAGGGTCCCCTTTCCTCTCTCTGCCTTCAGGATAGAGCAGAACTCCCCTCACCAGAGGAGAGAGGGTTTGGACCTCCCTCAGTGGTAAGGATGCTGCTGTCTCTGTCGCCAACCCTGTCCCCTTTCCCAAGCTCACCCCCTTATGACATTGGCTGTGGTTATTTCTCCCACTTATGGTATCTACTGCCACTTTGTGGGGTGCTGCCCTGGTTTAGGTCTCAGCGTCCCCCAGAAGCCTGACGTATATGGAAGGCGACTGGCCCCTGGGGTGCTGTGCTCCTCAGTGAGTTACCCACAGATCAGTCTATGGCTGTTAAGGTTCATATCTAGAGCCCCCCAGTGCCTCATGCGCTCATAGGTGGGGCTTTCTGGAGCTGGCTGGATCTAGGGTGTGTGATAATGGGATTAGGGGTGTGGGGCACAAATTAGCCCTGACTGGAATTAGCATAGTTCTGGGTATGGCTGAGCAGATTTACTGAAGACAAAATACCCACCCTGGTTGTAAGTGGCACCACCCAAAAGGCTTGTAGCCTGGATGAGATAAAAGGGAAAGGGAGGCTCGCAGCTCATCGCCTCCTGCCTGCCCTGCTGTGGACTGTTTCTCCTCTGCGATGCCCCTTTTCCATGGCACCCTACCTTGGAGCCAGCCAGCTATGGACTGAAACCTCTACCAACTGTGAGCTGAAATAAACCTTTCTTCCGTTAACTTGCGTGTGTCTGGTACTTTGTCTCAGCAATGAGAAAATTAGTAAGACAGAGGCTGGCTCTGCTGCTAGGAGGTGGGGTCTGGTTGGAGATGGGCACAGAGATGTGAGCTGGAAGGGTGTGTTCTTGTCCCTGGCTGCTATTCTTTCTGCTTCTTGGCTGCCATGAGGCGAGCAGCTTTCCAATGCCAGCCCCTCCCACTATGCTGTTGCTGCCTTGGAGCCGGCCAACCAGGAACTGAACCCCTTGAAACTGTGAGGAAAATGCACCTCCTTTAAGGTGGGGGTGTCAGGTGTTTAATCCCAGTGATGGGAAAGTATCTCAGACAAGCTGCGGCCTCCAGGCTGGAATCTGTGTTTTTATCACCTCTGCCTCTCTTGTCCCGAAACAGCCCAAGGCCTGGCACATACGAGGCACCCAGGACCCACTGCTGCCACCCTCCTCTTCACCTGGCGCATATCACGTCCACCCTGCATGCCTGCTACAGCAGTATCATGACCACCGCTGACCTCAGCCCGGGCAAGGACTGTCCTCATTCTCCATCACAGCCCTCATGTTACAGATCAGCAGGGCAGTGGGCATGCACGTGCAGGCAGTCACAGGGACCCCAGAATGGAGCGGGGATGTGGGTGCGGTCAGCCACCCTCACAGAGCCCAGGGAGCACCAATGAGGATCAGCGAGCCCAGGGAGCCTCGAGTCTCACTCATCAGCAGGCATGACAGTGACTTGGGTGCCTCCTAAAGATCTGAGTCCTGGGCCCAAAACCCTGACCCCAAGGGCACTGCGACACCTTGGGCCACGGAGAGGACTGCAGCCCTCAGAATGTGGATGGATGACAGGGCCCCAAGGTCACACAGCAGAGACAGGCCCAGGCTGCTGTGTGGCGTGGGCAGACGCCAACTCACCCCCTGCTCCATGCTGTCGTGGGCACGGTCAGTGACCGAAGAGATGAGCGTGAGCGCACCTGTGAGGGACAGAGCACAGCTGTCATCGGGCCATTGCTGTCACCATCCTGGCCCACCCTGGCCTCGCATGTCCCTGTCCCACCACCCAGCAGGTCCCTGTGGGCCCCACAGGCACATGGCTCTGGCCTCACTCCAGCTTTGCCACAGCCACCTAAGAGAGCCCGCAGTGATCTGACCACTCTGCCTCAGCTTCCCCAGCTGTAAAGTGACTCTGTCCCAGAGGGACCCTGGCAGGCCACACAGAGACACAGAAACCAGCTAACCTGGTACCACCTCTCCCCGCACCATTCGGGGACGCTGGTCCGCCCCAGCACTTCCTGGAGGTGACGCTGACCCGCCCAGCTTAGAGGGGGCTGTGTCCTGGGCTTGGGAACTGTGTGGAGCCTGGGGTGGGAGGGACTGAGCAGGTAGTGTCCCCATCTCCCAGGCCCCCCGGACTCACCTTGCGTGTCATCGTACTCAGCTGAGTCCGGGCAGAGGTTGTTCAGATAGTCTGGGGAGAAGGAGCCAGAGGTCAGTGTGTCCCATCCACAGTGTGGCCGCTGTCACCATCCACCCACCGTGACCCCAGGCCAGCACTGCTAGCCACTCACTCACTACGCCGTGTCTACTGGAACTGCTGAGTGCCCACCTGGGGGACTCAAGGGGACAGAGGTGACCAACTGCTGCCCGCCTCTCACCCTGTTCGCCCACACTGGCTCTCGAATGTCCCTGTCCCAGGGCCTTGGCATGTGCTCCTCCTCTACCAGAACCCTCTCCCGGATCCCCCTGCAGCCCTGAGACCTGCTCAGTGCCGCCTCCTCAGGGGGCCTCTCTGCCCGAAGTGTCTAATGCGGGCGCCTGAGCCTTGTCCCCAACCCAACTGGATTTCCTTAGCGTCCTCAACACTGATATGGCACTGTCGGGGCACAGCTCTATCTCCAGTATCAGCCTGGGCTGGGCACACAGTAAGTGCTCAATAAATACGAACAGAACCTGAACTGATATGGCACTGTCGGGGCACAGCTCTATCTCCAGTATCAGCCTGGGCTGGGCACACAGTAAGTGCTCAATAAATACGAACAGAACCTGAACTGATATGGCACTGTCGGGGCACAGCTCTATCTCCAGTATCAGCCTGGGCTGGGCACACAGTAAGTGCTCAGTCAATACGAACGGAACCTGAACGAGTCCCGTGTGCCTGGCCCTCGTGTGCCTGTCCAGCCTCGGGAATGGCGCGTGCATCCCATGTGGGCCTCGGCCCCGCCTCCGCGGCAGGGCTCTTTGACCACATGGAGGTGGCAGGCGCGTGGGTCTGGGGTCCAGCATTGGGTGGGTGTCCCGGGGGGGCAGGGTGGGGACAGAGGTGGGCAGGGAAGGGCAGAACCCCCCGCACCCCCGCATCCCTGTGCCCACCTGTGAGGAGGGCGTGGTACTGGAACGGCCGCCGCACCACTGCCAGCAGCTGCTGCTTCACCCGCTGGCCGCCCTGCTGCTGTCAGGAGGGAGCAGGAGTCAGACGCCCCACCCACACTCCCTCCTGAACCCCGAGCCAGGCCCTCCTGCGACCTGCCACAGCCTCCCCGGCCCGCTCTCCTCGCACCGAGGACAAGCTCGCTCTCCCCTTTCCTGCCTGGGAACTGGGTCCCCGTGGTGACCACTGGGGTGATTTCCAGGCCGGAAGAGTCCCTAAGACCCTCCCGAGATTTGGGGCTCCCTCCTGAGGCCACCTGCCAGCCTCTCTGGCCAGATCACCACTTCCCCTAGGGACCCACCTCGAGATCACAGACGGCGGCGGCCAGGTGGGGACAGCGGGCGCAGGCCTGGGCGAGCACGGCCAGGCTGCGGTCGAAGTGCAGAATCAGCGCCGTGTGGTGCTCGAACTCCTGCGCACGGGCCAGAAAGACGCCGGCCACCCTCGACGGGCCCTCCCTGCACAGGGACAGGGCAGGGAGGTGAGTGAAGTGGGGGCCCAGGGGGCTCCCAGCCCCGCCGCACAGCCGGCTCCCTCTGTGCGGGTGAGGTGCCTCCCTCAGGTTCTGTGCCACCCCTTGTGCGCAGTCCCTCCGGCCCTGAGAGAGCGCGGGCGCACCCGTCACCCAGCCTCTGCTCCAGCTCCTGAAGGACGCCTTGGTGCAGCGCGTGGATGGCGGGCAGCTCGTCCAGGCCCTGCCGCAGCTCCTCCCGCGCCTGCGCGTCCTCCACGCTGTCCAGGGCCCTCGTGACGGCAGCATGGAAATCCTGAAACCCGGAAGCCGGTGACCCACAGCCGCAGCTGCCCCGGCCTCAGAGAGGGGGCACACACAGGCAGCGGTGGCCCAGCCCCACAGCCCCCTGCAGGCACACACTGCCCACAGCTGTCCTGCCTCCCTGAGCCCGACCCTGCGCCCCACAGTCCAGCCCTGTGCCTGCTGACCTGGGAGCACACTCCCTCGACAAGAGGGTGAGACACCGGGAAATTCCTTCCCTCAAGACACACACATTTGTTTCCAGTTCACCCACTTTTCTCTTTTTCAGTACTAGGGACTGAACCCAGGCCCTCCCACTGAGCTACAGCCCTTGTCCTTTTTCAAATAGTGACAGGGTCTTGTTTAGTTGCCCGGGCTGGGCTTGAAACTGCCATCCTCCTGCCTCAGCCTGCCAGGCCCAGCTACCTAGCCTTCAGGTAACAGAGGAGGAGGAAGTCACGGTCACCCTACTGGAGGAGGAAGGCGCGGGGGTGGGCGGGAGAGGGAGGGAGGAGAAGGCAGCACCGGGGGCTGTGTTTGTGTCCCACTCGGGCAGCGGGGTGCAGTTAAGGACTGCTGCTCACGCAGCAGGCAGCCAGCAGGCTCCCATCTGCCACTGATCTCTCCATCACTAGGCTGAGGGCAGCGCGGCCGTCAGTGAGAGGAGACCAAGGAGCGCGCGATCCAGCGGGTCCAGCATCCGTTCCTAGCACGCAGGGCGCGCCATGCCTCCTCCACGTGTGCCCCGCTCCGTCCCGATCTCCAGCAGCTCAGCACTGGCACCGAGGGCGGGACGGGGAGGAGACACAGCTCGGCTCTCCGGGGCTCAGCTCGCTCAGGACAGAGGCGTGAGGGCCAAGGAGGGTTGCGGGCGAGGCTGTGCCGGGGGGGCGTGGCCAAAGCAAAGCAGCGGAGCTGAGGGGCTCAGCCGGGGGACAGCAAGGAGCAGAGACACCCGGGCTGAGACAGGACAGCACGCATCAGGGCTGAGGGGCAGGAGTCCCTGAGAAGCTGAGTGTGAGGGGGGTGGTGTGAGTGCTCATGTGTACTTGGGTGTGTGTGTGCACATGGGCACATGTGTGGGAGGGGCAGGGACTGGGACAGGCAGGGCCATTCAGTGCCCTGGGAGAGGTGCCTGTGTGACGGGGCCACGCCGCTCCGTCTCCATCCACCTGCTTGTGCTGGCAACACACACACCTGCGCGGGGTGTGCAGGCCACCGGGCCGGCCAGGCTGTGCTTCAGGGCTCCGTGTTTCTGTGTTTCTGTGTCCCCCGGGCCTGTGGGTCCTGGGTGGCCACCCAAGATTATAAACTTCTAATTCATCCTGCGAGCTCCAGCGGTATTTCTGGTGGCTCTGTTGTGTGGTGCTGGAGTGCACATGGCTACAAACAGTACCCAGACAGACCGGGCCACGGCTCTGGGCAACAGCCACCTGCCCTTGGGGATCTAGCGTCCCGAAGGCCCTGGCTCTCAGAACTGCCCAGCTTTTGGCAGTGGAAAAGGACCTCCAGGGGCGGTGCCCAGTCCTGGCACCTCTGGGCTGTGCCACCTCCATCCTCTGGGCTGGCAATGGGAGGGTGGCCAGGATGGCACAGGGTCCATGCTGGACCCCGGGATTCCACCAGCCAGGGCCTGGTTATGCCCCCCATGGGGCATGCAGGTTGGGGCCTACATGTCCCCATGACCTGAAAGTGACCTCTGGTGTGTAGTTCTAACTTCTGACTACACGTTCAGGTGGTGACAAATCAGGCTTCACGTGAAAGAAGACCACTGATAAAAGGAGCTTGATTGTTCCATGTGCCAATTCTGTGCTTGTGCCTTTTCTGCAAATTGAAATTAGTTTCGATGAAAACTTAAGACAAACGAGTATAAAATGCTTAAGAATAGACTTTAGAAAAGGTGCAGCACCTCCTCCAGGTGTACAGGGCTGTCATGTGATTGGCACCCGTGCCCCTCCAAGAAGGCCCAGGAAGCTGGGGGTCATGCAGAGGCTTTTTTTCTTTGGAGACAGAGTCTTGCTATGTAGCCCAGGCTGACCTTGAACTCACAGGGACCCTTCTGCCTCAGCCTACCAAGTGCTGGGATTACAGGTGTGTGTCACCATGCCTAGCATACAGAGGCTTCTAACACCTATGTGAACAGGGAACTAGGGACACTCACGCCAGGTGGCCCAAAGTAAAGGAGGCGCTGATTCCTGGGGCGGCACAGGTGACGTAGGAACCCTAACAGCATAGGCAGTCACCACGGAGACCGCAAGTCATGTGATGCCCGGAACAGCCAACTGTGGCCCATGGGCCCGGCTGTGGTGTCCGGTGTGCAAGACGGCTGCAGGCTCTCAGGGGTGACGAGAGGGCTGTGATTGATCGATCGATCGATCGACTGTGGGGTGACTGACTCCTTGAACGCCCTGAAGGTCACCTATTTTGCAATGCTGGTGGTCAGACTGTGATGGCACAGCCAGAGGGTTAACCTCCTGGGAGCTGGGTGGGGCATGGGGGGTGTGGGGTAGGGACGGGCCTGTAGCCACTCACAGAGCCAGAAGTCAGTGAGAGACGGATGCACAGACAGACGGATGTCCCAGCTAAAAGCCCAAAGAGGATTTCAAAACGGCTAAGCGGGGGAAGGAAGATCATCAGGGGAGGAAGATCATCACCATTTCCTGAATCATCAGGAAAATGTGGATCAATAAATAAACTAGGGAGCGAAACAAAAGACAGACAGACAGCAGGAAGCCGGGAGGCGGAGCTCTGCACAAGGGGCGGGGACAAGAGACGGAAGGGAAAGAACCCAGCTACATCATATCTGTACATCGTCCAAAATAAAGCCACAAAGGGAGACCACTACCCACCGACCACGTGGCCACAGTGTGAGTGACGACACTGACGTGGAGGGGGTGGCACTGTCACCACTGGGGGGACGGGTGCTTGACACCTGCTCCGCCACACCTGTCGTCCCCACGGCTGCACCCTGGAAGAGCCCAGTGGAGATGTGGAGGGCCGGAGGGCCCTCACTGCCGATGACACGGGTTCCTGATGTCTGAGGGGTGCGGCAGGAGATGCCCCAGGTCACGGGTCACAGCCCACCGTCTCTAGACACTGGCCCACCGCCCCCCCGCCCCAGCCCCCCGGGGTGGACGACAGCACCGCCTGCTTCAGGCCTTTCTCCAGGAAGCCTCTGACCTCAGCCTCCAGGGCTCCCTGCCCCCGCGGGACGGCAACTACCAGTGATGCACTTCCTCCCCTGCCCTGTGACCTTGAAGAGGCAGCGTGTGGACCTGCCCAACGCACACACGTGTGCACCGAGTCGCCGCATGCACAGCGGGAGCACGGCACGGGAGCCCGGTGTGTGCTCAGCGCAAGGCCACTGATGGGGACAGTCAGCTCCGCCCCAGGTGCAGGCCACAGAGCGAGGCAGGCGGTCAGTGGTCAGCGCGCACCAAAGGCAGCCCCAAAGGGTGCAGAGCTGGACAGGAGGGAAGCACAGGAAGACACGGAGGAGCGGAGTGGGAAAGGCAGGGCCCAGCCAGCAGGATGTGGGCAGACGCCACAGTGCCCCTTGTTCTGCCATCGAAGAACCTCTTCTGTCCTGTTACCCTCAGCTGGCTCCTGGATAAATGCACTGAGCACATCTCAGCTTTGATGAGTTCATCTAGCTACCTGTGAAACTAGAGGTGCGCAAAGAGGTGGAAGAAGTCACCCAATGATGCTTTCAGGAGTGTTTCCAAGGGGTTGCCTGGGCTGGGAGGCATAGATCCTTGCTTTCCCCCATGACGTCTCCTATTTGCCTGGGACACTGATATGATGGCTGGAGCTGCAGCAGCCACCCTGTGCTCATGAGGAACCTGCAAAGACTGCAGCAGAGATGATGGGACCTTGTGCCTACGGCTTTGTAGATTTCCTCCCCCTGGATTTATTTTGGGTGAGAGGGTAGCCCCAACACTAACAGTTCATAACTGGGGCTTTGCTAGGAGCAGTCAAGCACAACACCTAACTGATACTAGATTAGTAGAAAAGGCACCTCAATCCTGGCTCCATTTTCCAGAAAGGACTACAGCAACATCCCCTATCCCTCTGGCCAAGCGGCAGATGCTGACCCCTCTCTGAATGAGACTCTTGAGTAGGTGGGTGTGTGGGAAGTGGTGCTTGTGTTGTCTCAGGCAAGGCAGTAAAACACCATGCACTTCCTCACACCTTCTGCCTTGGGGCTTGAGCTTGACACTGGCCGCAGAGCCCAAGCCTGGCCTCTCAGGCTGTGGGGGCCACAGCCCAGGACCCACCACCTAATGAGGGGAGCGGGGACAGGACCCAGCCCCCGCCCGCTCCCATCCCCACCCGGCCTCCACACACAGGGGCAGCGTCACCCCCAGTCCTGGGGCCGTCAGGTGCTGAGCAGGCACCAGGCCCCTCTCCACACTGGACACAGCCTTTGGCGCCCTTGGGCCACTTTGCCTCCTGTCCTGCCGCCTCCAAGTCATTCTCCGGGTTCTCCTCTGTGAACATCCTGGAGACCCCAAGGCACGAGGGGCCCTGCCAGCCAGGTGAGGTGTGTGGATAGATGGACGGACGGACATGGGGGAGCAGAACCAGCCCCCTGCCAAGGCCACTGTGTAAGAGACCGAGCCGCGCTGGTTCGAGGCTCACTGGGCTCCTGGCCCATCTTGGCCACTCCCTGTAGGGTGCCCAGAACCAATGGGCAAGCGGGGAGGACGGATGGGAGGGCACAAGGCGCACGGAGCGGGGAGGGACGAGGCGGTGGTGGGGTGGAGGCTGGGGAGGCGGGGAGGTGGGCGGGTGAGCGGCTGCAGAGTAGGCCTGAGCAGACAGCATGTGGAGAGGCCGGTGGATGACAGCGGGGAAGGGTGCTGGTGGCGGCTGGGGCCTGGGAGGGCACATGGGCTCTGGCCCCAGCAGGCAGGTGACGGACCTGAGGCCGTGTGGCCTTGCAGTCTCTGTCACCCGCGATCCCTCATCTCTCCCCTGTGTATCTAACACTGCCTGGCCTGTTCTGCCCGGCAGCCTCTGTGCCAGGAAGGTGGGCAGGGGGTGCGCAGAGCTGCACCCCCTGTGCTGACGGCTGGAGCAGCAGTGCCCTCGGCCCTGGGCTGTCCCCCAGCCAGTCCTAAGGCCCAAAACCTGGGTGCAGGGCTTGTCTGCGGTCGGCTTTAGTACCCACGGCAGGGACTGGCACAGAGGGGTCGTGCTCACAGGCACGGGGGTGGGGGCGTGGGGGAACGGGCCCGCAGCAAGTTTCTGGCCGGGAGCGTGTGCTCCGTGACCCCACGGCTCTTTCTCGGGGTCAAAGATGGATCAGCAGCTGGCAGGACGCAGGTGCTGCCCGGTTAGGGCCTTGTAACACGGTCATAACCCAGAACCCGGCCCTCGGTAAGACAGGGATAGAGGACCTCAGGGACGTCCTCCTGCTGCGCTGACCTGTCCTCTGTGAGGGCCAGGCCGGGTGGCACACCCTGGCTGCTTCTGTCCCTGCCCTGTGACAGCCACCTCCTCCGAGACACAGCCCAGACTCCCTGACACCTTGCCGTGCCCTGCCGTGGTCCCCACCCCTCATCTGTCCCCTACGTGGCGGAGAGCCCCTTCCCAGCACAAGACAGCGGGAGGGTTGGGAGTGAAGGCCCAGTGCCCAGGGCCCCGAGTCTCGCTTCTCCCTCCAGCACCTGGGGAAGCCCCTGCCCGGCCTGGGCATCACTGTCCCCAGAGCTGCTGTCACCTTTTCCACGGGCTCTGTCCCCAGCCTGCATTGGAGCTGGCACACATGGCGGTGCCTGATGCTCCTCTGTCCCCACTAGCATCTTTCCAGGGCTCCAGCACATCCTGTGTCCCATGCATTGGCACACAGCTTCCCAGAAAGCGGCTGTGCCCACCGCTGCCAGCCTGATGACAGAACCATCGCTGCCCCATGTCACAGCTGTGACAGGGCGACACACGACCGAGGGGGCACTCACCAGGCACACGGGCCCCAGCGTCTGCAGGAACCTGCGGGGAGAGGGGGTGTGAGTGTCCTGGTACACAGGGCAGCCGCGAGGCAGGCCAGCGCGGGCAGCAGGGACTCACGCTCTCTCCGATGACAGCAGCTCCTGAGCGATGACCAGGGCGCGGGACGGTCCTTCCACCTGCGGGGACAGGGCGGTGAGCGGAGGGACCCGCGGCCCCTGTGTGTCCCCCATGGAGGTTCACTCTCCCCATCTGTGGTGTGGATGTGGCTCGGGCCTGGCACAGAGCCGTCGGGTCCTGACCATGCCCTGGCCACCCTGGCTCGGTGCCAGGGAGCCCGCTGAGTGTCCTCCCAAGGGTGGGGCGAGCCTGCTACCCTGCCACCTCTGGGTGGCCAGAGCTCCTTCATGACAGAGATGTTGGTGGGCGACTGAGGGTGAGGCTGGGGCACACAGGGCGCCAGGTACACACTGGGTTCCCATCATCTCCACCCTGTCTCCCTCACGGTGGTTCTCCAAGGCAGCCTCTGTCGCCCCATGTGTGGACGAAGGGCCTTCTGTGCTGACTCTTGGGGACTCAGTGACAGACGGAGGCTCACTCCCCGAGATCAACGGCACGGCACTGGTACAGGTGCCCGCTCCAGAACTGGCCTGTTTCCTGCCCCTGACTCTGACTGACCAAATGGTCCAAAACCCTCTGCGCCTCCATTTGCTTTTTTTTTTGTTGTTGTTGTAGGAAACACATAATAATAAACATACATCCATTTATGAAATAGGATAGGACCATTACAAACTTTACACAGTTATGGATAGATTAGTAGGAAAATATCAATGGCTGCTGTAATAC